CTCACGACCAACCACTACTTATAATAATAGCATAAAGAGAGATTACATTTTTGTGGGCGTGACAGGCTCTATCTACAACACGGGGTAACAAGGTTATTAAGAGAAAGGGGTACAGAACTAACCTACATGACATACATATGTCGGTGCTTGAAGAAAGCCACTTACCATTAATTCTGGAGTTCGTTTCTCAGCAGCAGGTCCGTGACCTGGCAGTTTTCTAAGCCACCACTCCACGGGTTCATGACCTGCCAGTTTTGCAAAATCCAAGGGTGTTTGTCCCAATTTGTCCTTGGCATTAGGATCGAGGCCAGCCTCCACGAGGTGTTGCGTTACTCCCAAACATCCATTCAGTGCTGCATGGTGTAGCGCTGTGCTAAGGCTGTCATCCACGGCATGACGGTCACAGAGTTCACGCCTGAGTAATTGCTTCACAACACCTATATTGTTGCTTACGGCAGCACGGTGCAATGGTTGGACCTCATATCTACCCTTAGAGTTAATGTCAGCATTGGCATCAAGAAGAGTCTCCAAACATGGTTCATTACCAAGATGTGCAGCCATATGTAGGGCAGTCCAACCTGTACAAAAACCCAGCAAATCTTACACATTGATAAATTCATTGTTGATTATTGAATAATATACTAATAATTGAAAACTAATGCCATTAATACCCTAAGATATTGACCAAATATACACACACACACACATATATATATATATATATATATATATATATATATATATATATATATATATATATATATATATATATATATATATATATATATATATATATATATATATATATATATTTATATATATATATATGCAAGTAAATCACAGTAGGTGCGGGTCATCCAGATATATGCTGATAAGCACAAGGAAACAGGAAAACACGAAGTTCCCAAGCTCTTTGGTGTAATTCACACCTTCAGGGGTGAGTACAGTCTGTACTCACCCCTGAAGATGAGAATTACACCAAAGCGCTTGGGAACTTCGTGTTTTCTTCTTTCCTTGTGGTTATCAGCATATATCTGGATGACCCGCACCTACTGTGATTTACTTGCATATATATATATATAAATAAATATATATATATATATATATATATATATATATATATATATATATATATATATATATATATATATATATATATATATATATATATATATTTATCAAGATTTATCTTATCCACGTTTTCATTGTGGATTTACATGAAATATATATATATATATACAGTATATGTGTGTATATATATATATGTATATATATATATATATATATATATATATATATATGTATATATATATATGTATATATATATGTATATATAACCACAAGGCAACAAGAAAACACTGTATATATTAGCCTTGTCAAGTATTACTCCTTAGTCTGTACTCACCCCTGAAGATGTGAATTACACGAAAGCGCTTGGGAACTTCGTGTTTTCTTGTTTCCTTGTGGTTATCAGTGTGTGCATATATATATATATATATATATATATATATATATATATATATATATATATATATATATATATATATATATATATATATATATATATATATATATATATATAATTTTTTTTTTTTTAGGAAAAAATAAACTCCTTTTTCTAAGAGAAGTTGTGAAATTTAAGGGATTGAATCTTAAGAGAATTAGGGCAGTGGATATTTCAATATCTGATAAACTGCAATTATTTTTAAAGATTTTCCGAGAGAAGAATACTAGACACAGATATACTGTAGATTTGAGTGAAGAATTACTCCAGAATTATTAAATAAGAAGAAATAAAGGTTCAGATATCGCAGGTAAGAAGTTTTCAGGGGCTGGGTTTATCGAAGAACTTCAAAGAGTGACTAAGGGAATGTTTCGAAGTGTGTTGTCCATAGAGTTAGGGGAGGTGGGAGATAAGGAGGGGGGGGGTGGTTAAGAGCCTCAGCTGTGACGAGTTGAAAGGAGTTGGTCAAGAAAAGTAAGTTTAGTGCTGCAGACGGAGAAAGTTGAAAGCTTTAGGTCTGATGACGAATGAGAGAAAGTAAGAGACTTTAAGCAATTAGTTAATTAATCGCAATGTCTTCTTGGGCAACACAGTAACACATTACCTAGAGATCACCTGAAGATTTCTCCTCCATCTTGCTTATATTACCTGAAGACCCCCACCCCCCCCCCCCTCTACCTTATATCACCTTAAGATTCCCCTTCTTGCTTATAACACCTGAAGATGAACGATCGTAACGCTAACCTAACCAGGCTTTCCCTGGGGAGAGTTAGGATGGTTAATCTTAAGGACAGTCTGAAGACAAATCTGAAAAAGTTCCAAATCTACCCCCTCACCTGGAAGGCGATTATCCACACCGTAATGCTTTGAGGATCACCACACGAGAAGGTCTCAATACTTTCGAATTAGCTCGACTGCAAACGGAGTCAAACAAGCGCCAGCGCCGTAAAGACACTGCTGCGGCCCCTCACACACTAGATGGAGCCATCCACATGTGAAACATCTGTGAACGACACTGCCGATCCCTTATCGGCCTCTTTAGTCACCTTAAAACTCACCAACCTAGGTGATATCCTTAATAACTCCTATCATTGTATCATAGCTGGATGATCGTCATACTCGATTCCGAGTGACAGCAAAGTAATGTGTGTGTGTGTGTGTGAAATGGGGGGATATCGGCGTGTGGGGGTGTGGGGTGTGAGAATAAGATGAAGGGTGTGTGGGAGTAGGAGGAGGGTTGTGTGGGAGTAGAAGGAAGGTTGTGTGGGAGTAGAAGGAGGGTTGTGTGGGAGTAGAAGGAGGAGGAGTGTGTGGGAGTAGCAGGGGAAGTGTGTGGGAGTAGGAGGGGGATTACGTGTCAGTAGAAGGAGGATTGTGTGTCAGTAGGAGGAGGAGTGTATGGGGGGGGATAGAGGAGTGTGTGGGAGTAGATGGATGTAGATCGTCAGGTGTAATGTAAATACAGGTGGATGACAGGATGGACAGCAGCTGACAAAATTGACGGAGGCGAGAGGTTGTAAGTGACAAGATTCGTGTTGTATAAAATGGGTTCGAGGGATGACTCACGAATTGTAATGTGTAAAGGCGACATGTAATGGGAATAAGACTCGGAGTTGTACAATAATATACAGAATTGATCAAACTCTTTGCTGTACGATGTGTTAGGTTGTAAGGTCTTGGCTGTACGATGTGGTAGGTGGTAGGACTCTCGGCTGTACGATGTTTTAGGTGGCAAGACTCTCGGCTATAAGATGTTTTAGGTGGGTAAGACTCTCGGCTGTACGATGTGCTAGGTGGTAAGACTCTCGGCTGTACGATGTGCTAGGTGGTAAGACTCTCGGCTATAAGATGTTTTAGGTGGGTAAGACTCTCGGCTGTACGATGTGCTAGGTGGTAAGACTCTCGGCTGTACGATGTGCTAGGTGGTAAGACTCTCGGCTATAAGATGTTTTAGGTGGGTAAGACTTTCGGCTGTATGATGTGTTGGGTGGTAAGACTTGTTGATGATGAAACCTATTCTATAATAGTAGAAAAAAAATACATTAACATTTTTGGTTGTTCCCTGCGTTTAATTGGATTTTTTTTCTTCAGTTAATACCAGAACATTACACACCTTCAATTGATTATGTCTCTTGGTGGTATAAACTCCACTATTGTGAACACTCCCGAAAGCAAAACAAAATTCAAAGCGTAATGTGTTTTATCTGATTTATCTGAAGAAACCTTGTATTAGTATTGAAAATTTCCGCTCAGAAAGTAAACCCATGTATAGGTAAACTGATGAAGGGTTCGCTCTGTTGCAAAAATAAACATTCGTTGTGTTTACGGTCGTACATAAAGCAAAGTTCACCTAATAACAAGAACGGGTTTTCATCAGTAACCAGAAATCATGGAGCTAATAGCTTAAAGTAGATGGTTGATTCAGAGGGTGTGGCACGGAGCCCACAGAGGTGCTCTGCTGGTACGGCGGCCTGGGGGAGGGAAGGCTGTTGCTACCACTGTTGTTACTACCACTGTTGTTACTACCGCTGTTGTTACTACCACTGTTGTTAATACCACTGTTGTTTATACCGCTGTTGTTACTACCACTGTTGTTACTACCACTGTTACTACCACTGTTGTTACTACCACTGTTGTTTATACCGCTGTTGTTACTACCACTGTTGTTACTACCACTGTTGTTACTACCACTGTTGTTACTACCACTGTTGTTAATACCGCTGTTGTTACTACCACTGTTGTTACTACCACTGTTGTTTATACCGCTGTTGTTACTACCACTGTTACTACCGTTGTTGTTACTACCACTGCTGTTACTACCGCTGTTGTTACTACCACTGTTGTTAATACCACTGTTGTTTATACCGCTGTTGTTACTACCAATGTTGTTACTGTCATTGCTGTTACTACCACTGTTGTTACTACCAATGTTGTTACTGTCATTGCTGTTACTACCACTGTTGTTACTACCGCTGTTGTTACTACCACTGTTGTTTATACCGCTGTTGTTACTGTCATTGCTGTCACTACCACTGTTGTTACTACCGCTGTTGTTACTACCACTGTTGTTTATACCGCTGTTGTTACTACCAATGTTGTTACTGTCATTGCTGTTACTACCACTGTTGTTACTACCACTGTTTACTTCCACTGTTGTTACTACAACTGCTGTTTATACCACTCTTGTTACTACCACTGTTATTACTACTGCTGTTACTACTACTGTTGGTACTACCACTATTACGACCACTGTTATTACTACCACCGTTGTTACTATCATTGTTGTTATTACCACTGTTGCGACCACTCTTGTAACTACCACTCTTGTTACCCCCACTGTTGTTACTACAACTACTATTGTTACTACCACTGTTGTTACTACCACTGCTGTTACTGCGACTGGTGTTACTAGCACTATTGTTACTACCACTGATGTTACTACTACTACTGATGTTGCTATTACTATTGTTACTACTACTGTTGTTACTACCACTGTTGTGACTGCCATTGCTGTTACTATTACTGCTGTTACTACCACTATTGTTACTACCACTGCTGTTACTATTACTGCTGTTACTACCATTGTTGTTACTGCCACTGCTGTTACTATTACTGCTTAATGCTGTTACTACTGCTGTTTAATTGTTCCTACCACTGTTATTGCTGTTACTATCACTGTTGTAGTTATTGTTACTACTACTGTTATTGCTGTTACTGCCACTATTGTTATTTCTGTTCCTACCACTGTTGTTATTGCTGTTATTACCACTGTTGTATTTATTGTTACTACCACTGTTGTAGTTATTGTTCCTACCACTGTTATTATTATTCCTACCACTGTTATTGCTGTTACTGCCACTGTTGTAGTTATTGTTACTGCTACTGTTATTGCTTTTACTACCAATGTTGTACTTATTGTTACTACCACTGTTATTGCTGTTACTACCACTGTTATTGCTGTTACTGCCACTGTTGTAGTTATTGTTACTGCTACTGTTATTGCTGTTACTACCACTGTTGTAGTTATTGTTACTACCACTGTTGTTACTGATACTAC